ATATAAACTATTACTTACTACTACTACTTGGACTACTACTGTATCCCTACTTCATGCTTTTTCACTTATCATGGGGGGGGGGGGGGGGCCCTGGTTCCCAACCCCTGTGATAAATGAGGGAACACTGTATATATGTACTTTGTATATATGTAAACAGACCATCCCTATCGTTTGAGGAAATTATGATTTCAAGTTTTTATATTGCTTAAAGTATAGTTTCCTCAAATGATTAGGGTGGCTCTGAAGATTAATCTATGTTGGCCAAGGCCACCATTGGCCACCCTCTGGCTCCTCCATTGCACCAGGTAGAGGATAAAATCGCTCCCTCCACTCACCAGGATCCATCACTGTGCTGCTTCAAACAAGCAAACAAACAAACAAACAAACAAACAAACAAACAAACAAACAAACAAAAAAGAATAATCTCTTTTCTTCTACAGTGTAACTTTTACCAACGTGAATATCTTGCACCAAAAATATTAAGGTTTTCATTTCCTGTTCAGTTCTAATATCCCAAACACCTCATGTTGAAAAATAAAAACATTCAATCTTTAAATCCTTCATCGTTCAGCTTGTTCTCTATTGTCAACTATCCACTCACTACTTTTGCCGTGCACTCTCACAAAGTGAACCCCTCTGCCTTGTTCCTTGTTCCAGCTGTGCTGCAGGTCAGTGGGATGCGCATTTACACATCTGGGGACATCGAGGCCGTCAACGGAACAGATGTTCGTCTGAAGTGCACATTTCAGAGTTCGGCAGCGATCAACCCCAGTACCGTCATCATCTCCTGGACCTTCAGACCTCTGAAAGGAGGCAGAGAGGATTCGGTAAATTTATGTGTGTGTGAGAGAGAAGTCGTTAAATCAAACCTCAGATGCTGCTGGTTGTCAGGGAGCGTCCACCCCCTCAGCCAGCTGAGAGACGGTGGTGAGTCATGAGGCTCCCAGCGGAGCAGCGAAGACAGCTTGTGTGTTTTTTCTCTGTTCTGTGTGCATACTGAGAGGAGAGAATAAAAAGAAGCAGAGACTGTAGCATCTCTACAATATAATCAGATAATCTTTCCCTCCACAGCAGCAGGACTCTTGGTTTGATAACTTTAAAAAAAAATCTGTTGTAATTGAACCAGAATCAATTGTTGCCTCAACCGAATGTTCCAACTGTCGTCGCAGCTGTTCCACTACCAGCAGCGAGCATACCCACCTGTGGAGGGCATCTTTAGGAAGAGAATCGAATGGGCTGGTGATGTCATGGGCGGCGACGCCTCCATCAAAATCAAAGAGGTCAAGTTCATTTACAACGGCACCTACATATGCCAGGTGAAGAACCCGCCGGACGTCCACGGCCCGGTTGGAGAGATTCGACTCCGTGTTGTCCTCTCAGGTACAGGGGGGTGGGGGTGGGGGGGGGGGTGGGGGGGGGGGGGGGGGGGGGGTTCCTCACATCTCTTAGCTGCTCTCGGATTTTGTCAAAGAACACATCCAAATGTGGAAAATTATTCTCACAGTTAACTTTAGGATGAATGATGCCATACGGTTTGAGTTTTCTGTTAGAGCAGGGTGATTCAACTGGAGGCCCGGGGGCCAAATCAGACACACGGATGAACTCAGTTCAGCCCATCAACAGGTTCATTTTAAATAAACCATAAAACAAACTGATTTAATGACACCTGCTGGGTGCCTGGCCCCTGAGCTCTTGGCTTCCAGTAACTGTGGCCCCCTGAGCAGTTTAGATGAATAGCCCTGTGTTAACACGTTTGGTTATAATTATTTACAGTAATACATATCAATGATGTCCACCAAGATTAAACCAATTAAATATTCCCCTTTTAGACACATTTTCAACATAGATGGTGCACATGGTGTTATTTTTGTAGGTTTTTGAATGCATGAATCACATTAACAACTAAACAAAACACCTCATGATTGTCGTGGATAACAGAATCTACACAAAGAGTTTGAAATAATTGGCGTTAACAGGAGAAGAGAAGTCAGGTAACCTTTAGAAAGAATAAAAAAAACACATTTCTCTATGGATCTTTAATATATTTCATTTTAGAAGAAATGTGTAAAACATATGAGCTTTCATGGAAATCTAAGGAAAGAGCAAAGTACAAACAAAAACCTTTAAAGCAGAAGGAAGCTGTGGAGACCAGCAAAAAGTCCAATGAAGGTCACTTTAAAACTAATTCATTGTACAAATGGGCAAATAAAAAATATGAATAAATATAAAAAACAATAGGAAAACAAAAAATATCACAAACTGTAGGATAGATGTGCGGGAATGCTGACAAAGAAAACATTGTTACTTGTGACACTTTGAGCACAAGTAAAACTAATTAGGATGAATCAGACACACCCAGGGGAGGAAAAACACACAAAGGGAGGAAGCAAACCCAGCGGAGACACAGAGGGTGAGTGGGTTTAAAAACATGACAAGACTGCATCCAGAACCTGGAGACAACGTCAGATGTACTGTAACTTTCTTTTAAAGCATCAAAGTTCATTCAAGGTTTCAAGGATTCAAAAATTAAAAGATTCAAGGTTCTTTATTTGTCATTCGCACCACATGTTGTACATGTGGTGGAACGAAATTGTGTACACAGGGTCCCAGTTACATCCAACAAAAGTATTAAAATGTGTGTAAAAGAAAAACAGTAATATGATCTAAGATATGAACTAAGAAACATGTTAACTAAAAGCACATTAAGCACACACTTCCAGAGGGCTTCATCAGTCTGAGGAATCCCAAGTAAACTGTTTTCCCCACTAAACAGTACACTCCTTTAGTGGACCAACCAGTTTGCTGGTTTTGCTGGTGACTGATGAAGCCCTCTGAACACAGAGCAAATTGTCTTTCCACAAAAAAGAAACTGTCCAGATGACCTGAGTGACCATTACTGTATTTTGTTCTTGGATGATTGAGCATGAACTTTGATGATTTAAAAGAAAGTTACAGTACTTTTGAAACACAAGTGCCACTTTGTTCTTTTGGATTATAATGGTGAGAACATTCATGATTTATTACCATGGAGAAATATACTGAGAAAACTTTAGTTATGCTACATGGTGCTGCTTTGACAAATACTCTGAAAATACGGTAATTTGTGGACGGTCCCTAAGAGAACCATCGCTCCTTTGAGAAGGGACAGACTGAGAGCAGCTGAATGACATCAGACTGCCTGCGTCGGCTCGAACAAGGAAATCACCGCTGAATCCACAGAGCATGAAGGTGAAATATCCAACGTAAAATTAATTTTACCACTGCAGCACACACTGGATATCCTTATATTTAAGGCTGATTTCAAAATTCAATTCAAATCAGTTTATTTATATAGCGCCAAGTCACAATCTCCATGAACGTCAAATACGGGTGTCTGTTCCATTGTTGCTGTTGTCTGTGAGGTAACAATACATACAGTAAAGTATTACAAGGGAACACAAAAGAAAAAAATCCCCATGTCCCCTCCGGGGCTCCGTACTCTACAGCTGAGGGACATACATGTATATTCTCTCTCTCTTTATGGACTTATAACCATTTTTAACTTATAATGAGGCATG